CCCCGGCCAAAGAACTCATTAATTGAGCTGTTTCTGTCATAAACGGCAAGAAAGAAAATTGCCCCTTATCAAATCAAAGTTCTTACGAATTTAGACTACTCCCTTGAAGGGGTGTATCCCTGTGTGGTACTTAACATATTTCTTCTTCCTGTGTGTGCAATTAATTTATTTTTTCATTATATCATAGTTGGAATCCTGCTTTAGAGAGTATTTAGACAAATGAAATTGTATTTTCTTTAAGTTTTTTTTTTTTTTACCTTTTATGCTTACAGCTGAATTTTTTGCTTACATGAAGTAACTTGTGATAATTGGAGAAAATGGTGATTAAAGGAGAGAAGCAAAAAAGAAGAAAATCATCAATATTCCTGCCATTCAGAGATCACTAAAATGTTAACACTGGTTTATGTCCTCCCAGACTTATTTTTTGCATTTATATTTTATACAAAAATGGTATACTGCATATGCATTTCTGTAACCTGTTTTTTCACATAGTAGTACTGTTTTTGAGTAACGAAATTTAAGTTTTTGTTGATATGTACTTTTGGACCTTAACTTTAGGGAATGCTCACTATATGCCAAACCGTAATCGTAGTTTTAAAAGATTTTCTCCCAAATTTCCTTAATGACACCGTAAGATATAAGAAATTATTATACATTGTGTGGCAAAATAAGGTTTTGCTTGCTTAAATTCTTGGGAGAGCAGGCACAGAATAGCCTTGGAATGGAAGTTTAAAAAGTTTTTGACATAATGGATGTTTAAAAAGTTTTTGCTAATGATTTGATGCAGGTAAAGGTTTAGTTTCATAGATACACTATGCTACAAATGCTGACCAGCTGTCCAGGCCTCCAGCAATAAGTTCCCGAAAGACTTGACTTTATAAATCATACTTCATATGCTTTATTAACATTGAGTCTTGGGAGTGTGTCCATTCAGTTCATTGCTTTATCAGTGGTGCCAAAAGTGGAGGAAATGTCCCCTTCCTCAGCTTCAAAGGATAAGTACATACTACAAAGTATCATTAATATACTAATAACCCATTTGGGTCTCTTAGTTATAAACTTACCTAAAACCTTTAAATCTATATTCATTGTGTATCTCTTGGGTAATTAATCCCATATGCTTACTACTCATTATATAACTTCATTTTCTTTGATTTGCCTTAAATTATAGTCTTCAATACATATTCTAAATTTGTCTACTTCTTCCTGTACCTACTGCCGTCACCTTTGTCAACTCAACTATCACCCTCTCACCTGGCTTGTTGAAGTAACCTGGGCTCACTGCTACCACTTTGGCTTTCTGTGGTGCATTCTCTTTTCCACAGCCTAGGCGATCCTTTGAAATGTAAATCAGATTGTCACACTTTTTTTGAAAGCCTTCCATCATAGCATAAAATCCAAACTCCTTACCAAGGCTTATGACGCACTAAACATTTTGCACTGCCTTCCTCTTATCTTACCTTGTATCCCTGTACCTAGATCAGTAGTGTGGAGCCTGGCCACATCAGTGTCTTCTGTGTTTCATCCTGAATGGCCTTGTCTCTCGAACTTGACAGGCTGGCTCCTGCCTTAGGGTGTTTGCATTTGCTGTTCCCTATGGCTTCAGTACTTTTCTCCCAGGTCTTGCTATGGCTGTTTTCCTCCTGTCATTCAGGTCTTAGTTCAGATTTTGCTTCTTCAAGGAGATTGCCCCCAATTATGTCTCCATTCTCTTTTATTTTCTTCATAACATTTATCACCATCTGGAATTTCCTTATTTTTTAAATACTGTCTCCTACACTAGAAATTAAACTCTGAAAATGGGGACCTTGTCTGTCTGTTTAACTCCTTAGTAGGACTCAGTAAATGTTGGTTGAATAAATGAACGTCGTGAACACGTCTGTATTCCTCTCGAACCAGCTCCTTTTATAGAAGAACCCTAGTTTCCAGATTCTTTTTATAGGGCAGTGCCTTGCTTTTCTTACTTCAATAATTTTTGGTGTTTGGGTCAGAAAACAGTCACATTCTACCTTCGATCTGTAGAATTAATCCCTGGGAGGAATAGGTCTCAGGAATCTGCCTTTTCAACAAGCCCTTCAGGTGATTTTAATGAGTTCAAAGTTTGAGAGTGTGTCAATATTTTTCTCTGGGAGATTACTTCTTGCTTTATAATACTAATGATAGCTACCAATTTGGGTAACATGATGTGTCAGGTACTATGCTAAAAACTTACATGTTCTTCATGTAACTAGAGCAATTCTGATGAACTCCCATTTTATAAGTGAAGAAACTGAGACATAGTAAGTGGCAGAAAGTTGGATTTGAACTGAAGTCTGTTTTCTTAATCACTGTACCTGCTGCCTCTGAACTACAGTATTTAGATTGTATGCAGTACTTTGGTTTTGATAGGTTATAGTTTTGTTAAGGGCAAGATAGTGTTTTCTGTCCCGTTTCCAATCCTGTTCTTAAAGAAGCCCTTTGTTTTGTTGGTCTTTTTGCGGGGAGTTGCCCAGATGGGAGATGACCTCAAGAAACATTCTGCAAAGACTGCTCTGTCTACCTGCTTTGTTGTATTGAGTGCTTAGAGCTTACCAGGCTTAAGTAAGTTTGGAGTATATTCTCCTTCCTGTGTATTACTTTGCATTCCACACAACAAAAACACAAGATATGCTTGTTATTCAAAAGCTGAAAAGGATAGTACTATTTGAAGTCAGCAATGACAAAATCTGTAATTCTCTTATTCAGAAGTCATCTCTGCACATCATGTATTTCTTTCCAGTATTTTTATTTTAATTCGTGTTTGATGTAAATGAGATGTAATACCCACATAAGCTTATGTCCTGATTTTTTTTGGGGGTTTGATGTAATGATCTTTTTTTTTTTTACCATGGCCTTAAAAGCTTTTATTTTAACAGGTTACATTTTATAAGCTATTTTGAATAATCTGGTTTACTTCAAGTTTTCATTTCATGTTGGGTATGAATGTAGTTGCCAGTTTTCACCACTATAAATAATATGTCATGAACCTTGGCTCTAAATAATTAAAGCTCTGAATGATTAGAGCAACTAGTGTAATTATTTTAGAAGTCATATTTAGAACATTTTAGTGATTTCAAATATAGTGATTTTAATCATAATTCAAATATATATATTATACATAAACTTGGAATGCTTAGAAAATTTACATGAAAATTTTTAATAGAGGTTGCCTCTAAGAGGAGAGTACCTTTTGCTTCTGTGGGGTTTTCTGCATTTGAATTTTATAACTGTAAGCGTGTATTGCTTTTAAAAAATTCAACTCCTTGGAGAAGAGTGTATTTTCCTAAACTAAAACCAATTTTTAGATGTATAGTAGGGTTTATTTTTATTTTGTCTGTAACATTTTAAACTTCGGTGTTTTTCTTTTGGAGAAAGTTACCTTCTTGCTTATTTTCACATTGAATTTTCATTTCCTTTTTTCTACTAAGTTTAGGTCAAAGCACAGATGTGAGTCTCAGCTTTGTTAAAAATACAGAATGAACAGGGTTTTTGCTTGACTGCACTCATCGACAAGTATTACAGGTGCAGCACTTTCAAAATTTAACAGCTAATAAAGCTGCTTCGAATCAAGTTAGGGATTAAATAAGTAAGCAACTTCATGGTATCTGCACCAGACTCAGAGGTCAGTGTTCTGGCTGCTCTCTTGTTTTATCTTAATAGGTACTTAAAAAAAAAAGTTAACTTTTTTTATAGTATGTTTTTATTGTGTAGTTACTCAACACTTAGCAAAACTAATGTAGAAAGAAACTGACCTGATTGAATTTTG